GAATCACCTGCTTGGACCTGCTTGAGATGCATCTGTGGATGCATGACAAGGTACGGTTGGCCTTCCTGACCGTGTCCCCACACTGTCGGCCCATGTTCATTTTGGCATCAATAATGACTCCAAGATCCTTTTCTGCCTCTGCGCTGACAAGAAGGGAGTTCCCCAGCCTGTAGGTATGCTGCTGGTTCTTCCTTTCCACGTGCAGTACCTTGCACTTGTCAGTGTTGAAACCCATCCTGTTCTCATCCGCCCACCCCTGTAACCTGTCTAGGTCCAATTGCAGCCTATTCCTCCCTTCTAGCATGCCCACTTCTCCCCACATCTTAGTGTCGTCTGCGAATTTGAACAGGGTGCTTTTTACCCCACTCGTCCAAGTCACTGATGAAGTTGTTGAACAGTGCAGGCCTGAGGACCAAGCCCTGCGGGACCCCACTGCCCACATCCCTCCAGGCTGAATAAGACCTGTCCACCACCACTCTCTGGGTGCGGCCCTCTAGCCAGTTAGTGACCCATTTGACTGTGTAGGTGTCGACGCCACAGTCCCCTAGTTTTTTAATGAGAATGGGATGAGAGACAGTGTCAAAGGCCTTCCTAAAGTCCAGAAAGACTACAGCCACTGCTACACACCGAATCATCAGAAGCGGCTCCGGTTCCGAAGCAGAATCCAAAGACTCACTTAGCCCTAATTGCCAACTACCTCGCCGTAGCAGCACACTCTCTAGGTATGTCATGCCACTATGGCAATTTAGCAGCAAAATCTAACCATGCACCACACACACAGTGCAGTAACCACCCATAATGTGCCATTCTTTAGTACATCCAAAAGGAAGCATTAAAGCGTGGTGCCATAGCAACTTCGCTGTACAGTGACATGTAGACACGCCCAAAAAAAGTATTAAGTACTAACCTGACTTAAATGAATTTTTACATGGCCCTGATGAAGTATAGATGTTTTCCCTATGTAACAGGGTGCCATCCCCAGGGGCATTTTAGAACACCCAGAGGCACTCCAGAGTCCCTTTTCCATATTTTAATTGCCTTCTGGGAACAGACTCCCCTTCATTCACCTGCCATGTCTTGGTGTTTCTTGAGTTCTTAAAAGGAAGGCTGCCCCAGGACTTCTCAGATCCGGTCTTTGCTTTCCAACCTCTGGAGGTGAGGTGCTCCTGCCTTAAGGGCTAATTGCATGACTCCAAGCTCCCCTTATCATGCCCTATGCCTCACAGATGTTATCTGCATCTTCAGTTCACTCTTTTGGGGTCTCAGCCAATTCAGCTTCTGCCCCTTCTTATGTAGTTAAGCCGTCCAGCTTAGGCCCACTGTGTTGGGCCCGGCTCAGAGGCACTAGTTTCAATCAATCTGAATTGCACCCCCTGTGGCACCAGGCTTTCTGGCCCCCATAACTGTACCCCTGTGGGCACTAATGAGGTCTCCACCTCCACTGCAGCCTCAGCCACAAACCACCAGATTAAATTACAACATAAACAGTAATCCCCTGGGCTATAACAAAGAAAAGTTAATGGAGGCAGTTAGCTTGTTTACCCATGGGCTCCACATCTCTGAGTCCTAATTCCTGTTGCTCTCACTTGCAGGGCTGCTGCAGCTTTGCTTGGAGCCTTCAGAAGTCCACCTTCTGTCCCAGCCCGGTTTCTCTGGCTAACTCAGACCAGGGCTTATATAGTTCTGGCCTGGGCACTCTCACAGTCACCTGACAGCCCCAGTCAGCTGATCAGCCTACAAGGCTTAGTCTTTAACCCCTGCTCTGCTGGAAGGCTGTGCTCTGAAGACTCTAGTCTTAAAGGGCTAGCTCTGCTTCCTAGTAACAGGGCTAGGGTTCCCTGTTACACCTACTACACAAATCACATTACAATGAAGCCAAAATATATTACTAAGCATACTCAACCAGAAAGATATAAACATATATATCTACAGTAATAAATAGCTCTGATATTGTAGGACTTTGCTTTAGTTTAATATGAAGTTTTATTCCCATCATGTTTTTCTATAAACATTACTGCTTTCTTTCCTCTGTAAAAGTTGACTTCTCTTTTGGGCCACTGGTACAATGTCTTAGGGGAAAATATCAGAGTATAAACATAGGATCATGGAAAACTAGGGCTGGAAGAGACCTAACAAAGTCATTCAGTCCAGCCCCCTGCTCAAGGCAGGATCAGTCCTAACTAAACCAGCCCAGTCAAGTGTCTATCTAACTTGAGCCTGAAAATTTCCAGGGATAGAGATGCAACAACTTCTATAGTAGCTTGTTCTGAATACCCTTATAGTTAGAAAGTTCCTCCTAGTTTCCAACCTAAATTTACTTTGTTGCAGTTGAGGTCATTGTTCCTACTCCTGTTCCTTGACAGTTTAAGGCCATGTAGGTGTTTTCCTAATAACAAAGGGCGCTTGTCCACGTAATTGGCATTTACCCACTAAAAATGCTCCTGGTTTAATTTTCCTTACTTGGTTTATGACGACTAATTAAGTAAGGTGGATGTGATTTACCATGCAATCACTTATTATGCTATAACTAGTGAAATGTGCTAGGGGGCACGTCAGAACAATTTTATCCTCCTGCCCTTTCAGTACTACTTTACTGCCAGGTGGTGTTTTAGGACAAGGTTGATATTTTGGTTGGTTTATTTTCTTGGGTCGTGCTAGGTTGCTTTTTGGGGGGGGAATTGTTGGCAGTTTTGCTTAAGAGACATGTATTTAGGTGAGGGGGGAGAGGGGTGGTTGAGTTCAATAAGCAGTGCTGCCTGCCTCCCCTGCAAAGCCTCCTGCTTTTTTCTGGGAGCTTGTTCTTTGTTGCACAGGGCACTGCTGCTTGGCGAGGGAAATCTTTTCATGCAAAGGTCCACAAGAGTAAGCCTGTTCCTGCCTCCCCACTGTAAGTCTGGATTGGAATTCAGGGTCTGTACCACAGGCCTCCCTACCTAAGCCTGGTCCCAAAGCAGTTCTGCCCCCCCACTTTTTCTGCACGCTTGTTGCACCGGGCACTGGGTGTGGGGTACACTTAGGGTTATGCAAGGGTATACAAAAGGTCTGGCTGCCTCCCCTCTCCCTCCCCACTGTGTGTTGGCATTTGGGTATCATGTACCCAGGATAAAGCCTAAATGGAAACATTACTACAGGAATTTTGATATAAAACCGAAAGAATCCTGTGTCTCCTGTTGTTTGTATCCTCATGTCAAAAAGCAGGACTTTTTCCAAAGCTGAGAACCAGTGTGGGGGTGGTCTGGGGTTGTTGTATAAAGGTTGTATAAGATTCCTTGAGTATCCCCATGCCCAGGAAAGCTTCTCCCAAAGTGAGGTTTGGGGGCCACGATCAGCCTACTCCAACTCCCTCTCCCCCTGTGATCACAACACAGTGGCCAGTATGAGCTAACACCCACACTCCTGTACAGCAGGGGCCTGGTGTGGGTTGAAGTGAAGAAAGAACCAGCCCAGGCTCAATGAGAAGAATTTTCTTATCATTTAGTCTACTTGCATGTCAATCTTTTAACTCCTGCATTGGCACATCATCGCCTGCAGTCATACAGTCTACAACCAGATCCCTTCAGTACTTGTTCCCCCTCATGTCCTCTACCCCACAAGCTTCCCCTCTTCTCTGGTACTCTTGTTCCTTCTAAGCCTATTTTTGTTCACAGCAGCATGTTCCTGCCCTCCTTTGACCATCCTCTGCTTGCCATTGCTCTGCCTGACAGTCATACTGCTGCCTCTTTCTGGGAGTGCAGGGGGCTGCAGGTCGGGAGTGAGGGGTACCAGCTGGGCTGAAGGGGAAGGGGGCTGCAGGTAGGGAGTGAGGTGCACCAGCAGTCTTTGGGCAGGGAGGGGGCTGAAAGGGCAGGGGGCTGCAGGTCAGGAGTGAGGGGTACCAGCTGGGCTGGGGGGCTGCAGGGTCACTAGGAATGAAAGGCACTGGCAGGGCTGGTGCAGAGGGGGCTTCAAATTCAGAGTGAGGAACACAGGCAGGGCTGGGGGGGGGAGGGGTATGGGGTGCCACCCACGCCAACCACCAGCCCCCTCATGTGCTCATGCCACAACCCCCAGGCCACTGCAGGGAGAGGAGAGTCACGCACTCTTGGAGAGGCTTGGGGCCTGTGATGCACCCAGCTCTGGGTTGTAATGGCCATGTATAACAGTGTATGGTGTGGGCTGTGCTAAACTGTTATATGTGTCCATTGCACCCAGCCCTGGGGTATATCTCAGCCCCCCCCGTACACTGTTATATGGAGCTGTTACACCCCAGAGCTGGGTGCATCTCTGCTCTCCCCATGCACTCTTATATGTGGCCATTACACCCCAGAGCTAGGGCCACCCCAGCAGGAGTGAGTGGGGTGAGGAGCACTGGCAGGGCTGGGGGGCAGTGGCTTGGCTGTAAGGCATGATCATGTTTTCTGTGTGAGTGTTGTATACTGTGCCTCCTGTAGGACTGGAGAGGACCATTTTCCATCCCCCCTCAGACCATTACCTTAAGATTCCTCAACAGAACCTATAAGACCAGTTGAGTGACTCTGGCCAAATCCTGGAGTGCCAACCCTATTTACATTTTCACTGACATCCTGCCACACTTTTAGTTTCTTTCATTTCTTGGAGTCTCAGAACAGCAGAGACTCCCTGTGCCTGAAGAAGGGTGACTGCACCTGAAAGCTCGCCAAGAACGTTTTTCCAACTACTCAGTTGGTCTAATAAAAGGTATCACATCTACTCAAAGAACCTTGCCTGGCTACGTCCTTAGACCAACACGGCTACAACCAAAAACCCAGACCCTCTTTGAATTGCTTTGTCTGTATTGACAGTGCTCCAATGAAGCTGCTTTTTGGTTAGGGCCTTGGATTAGGGCACTGGCAGGGTTGGGTGGCAGGGGCTGCAGGCTGGGAGTGAAGGGCAGTGGCAGTGCTGTGGGGGCAGGGGCTGCGGGTTACAAGTGAGAGGCACCCCAAAGCATGACAAGTCAGTGACCATACTCTTTTTGATTGAGCAATGTCTGTATTGACAGTGCTCCAATGAAGCTGCTTTTTGGTTAGGGCCTTGGATTAGGGCACTGGCAGGGTTGGGTGGCAGGGGCTGCAGGCTGGGAGTGAAGGGCAGTGGCAGTGCTGTGGGGGCAGGGGCTGCGGGTTACAAGTGAGAGGCACCCCAAAGCATGACAAGTCAGTGACCATACTCTTTTTGATTGAGCAATTTAATTTATTTATTTTTATTTTCATACAGTCAGACATGGTTTTGTCATGTTATGCCACAGAGTCCAAGGACCCTGGGTCTGCTTTTTGGGGGGAGACTTGAAATCTGACAGTGCATTGTCCTATCAGCATTTCACAGTAACCCTACTTGCATGTCAATTCCGGTTCCCCCCAGCTCAGGTTACAGCTCTCATCAGTCCGTCCCTTGAGGCAGAACTCCAAACCTGGCTTTCCAGGAGTTTGAACAGACACCAGTCCAGTTCAATAAACCATATAATTTCCTCTTCTAGAAGCAGACTTCTGTGATGTGACTGTTCTAGGGGCAGCAATATTATTGTTATTTGCTTGTTGCTTACCCCTTTAGGAATCCATGCCCTAGCAAGCAGTCCACATAGACAAACCCCTATTCCTGCATTACCTTCTGGTATGCCAAAGGCCTATTCTATGATTAATTACCCAGAGCTACCCGACCCATACCACATGCAACCAATGCTACATGTTAGGGTTCTCTTCCAGAACTGGCAAGAGCCTGCTTAGCTGTTACTTGCACTTGGCAAACCATGCACTTTATTTGCTCTGTTCATCAGTCAGCCACTTGCAAAATTCCCTGCCAGTCCCTCCTCTGCCCAGGCATGTGGCTGTGGGGCACCCCCTGCTCACAGTGACTGGCCTGCTCTCACCATCCACTGTTTTGGGGCACCCCAGGCCACATGCTAGGGTTTGCTCCCAGAATTTCAAACTGCCTACCTCTACTGAAGGTCAATGAACATCTGCACCACAAAGCTCTCCTCCCCACTGCCCCTGGTGGTAGGGGGCAGGGACCCCTGCCTGGCAGTGACTAGCCTTTTCACCATCTATTGTTTTGGGAAAGCTAACACCAAGGCTACAAGCTATGGTTCATGAGGCTGCAGTTTGTTCCTTTAAGTCCCAGGTCCTTATTCCTGATTCCCGGTTCCTTTTTCAAAGCGAATCTATACCCAATAAAAGCTTCTTATTAATGAATTATACATTCTAAAGAGAATGTCATTAACTAAGCATATTTATCAAATAAGATGTAAATTAATATCCTGCATCCACCTTGCCTGTGTACCACCAGAGGACTCTCCTGGACACTTCTGACCAGAGTCTTGCATGGCCTGATTGACAGCCCCATGTACAATGTAAAAGTATATGGGCCCAAATAAGGAAATTATTTTGGGCTGGGATTTGAGATGGAAATCCTTCTTAGGCCCCCCCATAGCATGACTCTGCCACTGGGGGACTCTCCCAGACATCTCTGATTAGAATCTTGACTGGCCCAAAGGGCTGTTTGTTCATGCCAGGCTGCCAACTCACAGCTGCCCATGTCCACTGTACTAAGTATAGGGGCTTGAATAAGGAACTCTTTTTGGGCTTTGATGACAGCTGGAAATCCTTCCTGGTCCAGCCCACAGGGTCAGGGGTGTCCAGGAAAGTCCCAGTGCCAGAAGCATGGTGTGGGGTGGCCCTAGCTTTGGGGTGTAACGACCACATATA